AATGTATTTTTAACATAAAAATATGTTTTAACATTTTTTTATTATTTTAATCAAAGTTTTTAATCAAATTTTAGCAAAGTTTTAATGAGGTGTGAGTAGAGGCATGAGACCATTAATGAGGTGTGAGTAGAGGTATGAGACCATTAATGAGGGGTGAGTAGAGGCATGAGACCATTAATGAGGTGAGAGTAGAGGTATGAGACCATTAATGAGGGGTGAGTAGAGGCATGAGACCAAATAATGAGGTGTGAGTAGAGGTATGAGACCATTAATGAGGGGTGAGTAGAGGCATGAGACCATTAATGAGGTATGAGTAGAGGTATGAGACCATTAATGAGGGGTGAGTAGAGGCATGAGACCAAATAATGAGGTGTGAGTAGAGGTATGAGACCATTAATGAGGGGTGAGTAAAGGCATGAGACCATTAATGAGGTGTGAGTAGAGGTATGAGGCCATTAATGAGGTGTGAGTAGAGGCATGAGACCAAGAATGAGGTGTGAGTGGAGGCATGAGACCAAATAATGAGGTGTGAGTAGAGGCATGAGACTAAATAATGAGGTGTGAGTAGAGGCATGAGACCATTAATGAGGTGTGAGGGAGGCATGAGACCAATAATGAGATGTGAGTAGAGGCATGAGACCACTAATGAGGTGTGAGGGAGGCATGAGACCAATAATGAGATGTGAGTAGAGGCATGAGACCATTAATGAGGTGTGAGTAAAGGTATGAGACCATTAATGAGGTGTGAGTAGAGGCATGAGACCATTAATGAGGTGTGAGTAGAGGCATGAGACCAATAATGAGATGTGAGTAGAGGCATGAGACCATTAATGAGGTGTGAGTAGAGGCATGAGACCATTAATGAGGTGTGAGTATAGGCATGAGACCATTAATGAGGTGTGAGTAGAGGCATGAGAGGCATGCCCCTCATGCCCCTCAAGATGAGACCAATGAGGTATGAGGGAATCATGAGGCCATCACACAATGAGGAGGAGTGTGAGTGAGTGACCTCAGCTGCTGACGCCTCCTCATAGATTGCCTCATGCCTCATATTCTGCTTCCTCTCCCTCCTGACAGACGCTACTGCCTCATAACTCTTGCCCCTCATAACTCTTGCCCCTCATAACCTCTCATTGTTTAGGCCTCAATAACTCTCTTGTATCAGGCTTATACATCACCTGTTGTATGAGGGAGTCTTTGTAACTGGCAGTCTGCTGTAGTTGGGTCTTTATCACTGTTAATGTTGGGTCTTTATCACTGTTATTGTTGGGTCTTTATCACTGTTATTGTTGGGTCTTTATCACTGTTAATGTTGGGTCTTTATCACTGTTATCGTTGGGTCTTTATCACTGTTATTGTTGGGTCTTTATCACTGTTAATGTTGGGTCTTTATCACTGTTATTGTTGGGTCTTTATGTGTGTTATTGTTGGGTCTTTATCACTGTTATTGTTGGGTCTTTATCACTGTTATTGTTGGGTCTTTATCACTGTTATTGTTGGGTCTTTATCACTGTTATTGTTGGGTCTTTATCACTGTTATCGTTGGGTCTTTATCACTGTTACTGTTGGGTCTTTATCACTGTTATTGTTGGGTCTTTATGTGTGTTATTGTTGGGTCTTTATCACTGTTATTGTTGGGCCTTCATCACTGTTATTGTTGGGTCTTTATCACTGTTAAAGACCCAACCACCTGGTTATCCTCTAGGTTGTTAGAACATAATTGACGTTTTTCTCAGAGAGGATTAAGTATTAGATACAAAAGCGGGACCGAGAGCTGGAGCTCTGGCAGTGACGCCATAGACAATCACACAAGCAGGAACGAGGTGATTGGAAGGAGGGAACGAGCGGTGATCACCGCGGGCGGTAATGGTCTGAAGATCTCAAGTTATCGGGCGGTTATCGGCCGTCGGCGTCATGTAGTGTGGGTTAGTGGTGGGAGACTTCCTGTGGGGGCTGAGCAGGGGGCGGGGCTCCCCCTGGGGGCGGGCACCCCCCTCCCTGGGGGCTGGCACCCCCCTGGGGGCTGGCACTCCCCTGGGGGCTGGCACCCCCCCTGGGGGCTGGCACCCCCCTGGGGGCTGGCACCCCCCTGGGGGCTGGCACCCCCCCCCTGGGGGCGGGCACCCCCCTGGGGGCTGGCACCCCCCCTGGGGGCTGGCACCCCCCCTGGGGGCGGGCACCCCCCTCCCTGCCTCACACACTCACAGGCAGGCTGGCAGGCTGGCAGGCAGGCTGGCAGGCTGGCAGGCAGGCTGGCAGGCAGGCTGGCAGGCAGGCAGGCTGTCCAACAGACAGGGCGGCAGGATTTCAAACAAGCCTGTCAGCCTGCCTGTAGTTCAAGTCCTTCATGTACGTCCCAGTACTTGAACCATTTCCTCACTCTATGCAGGCGGTGAGAGATCTTCATCCTCCCATCCTTGATGGAGTAGGTCTCCTGCCTTGGAGGAGGAGGTGGAGGAGGTGGTCTGAAAGGTCCGACCATTTGAGTGACATCCCTGAT